CCTGCAATTAAGCTAGTTGTCTTTCCAGCTACTTCATACCATCAATTATCTCTCTTGCTTGGCTAAGGGCAGGCTGTTCCAGTGCAGAACATTTGCAAATAATGAGGTACAAGAAAACCTTTGGCATCAGCCGCTCTTGGAGACAGAATACCAGCAAGGTTTCTCGTAGCCAGTTTTGTTTTTCGTCAGCCTTCTTGCGAAAGGTGGTGAAAAAGCCCGCCAATGAGCCCAGCAGAAAGAAAAAAGAAAAAAATCCCCGCAAAAGCAAGGAAAGAAATGAGCAAGTGAAATACTATCAAATTTCTTGGGAATTTGCCAAATTGCCAAAAAAACCTGACCAAGGTTTGAGCCTATTGAAAAAGTTGAGGATTAGTATGGCACAATAGCAGGGGAAAACCATTTCTTTCAAATCATCTGAAATGAAACTCTTCACCTTTCTGTTTTGAAGAGGTTTGGCAAGAAGCCACAAGGACAGAGGTGTAATCTTGGCTCCATCTCTGAGGTATTGTGAGGCTCCCAGCAAATATATTAAACTTATCAGCCTTTTCTTCCCCGTCTGTCAAGCAACTCTAATGGATCTTTTTTATTTGCCTTGAGGTATCCCAAGGGTTTTAATTACAAACTCAAAAAAAAAGGACAGTAACAGAGAGTAGCCATACAGCAGCTGTGTTATTAAGGTATTTTTGCAAGATACTGGTCGCTGATGCATTCATAGTCTGCCCACCAAGGCCAAGCCTGCCACTGTTTCCAATTAAATGATTAACAAGCGTCCAGTTAACAGCCTTGTGGCTGAGCTTCCTATTTTCTAGGCTATTTATTGTCTTCTCCATGCGAGTCTCATTTTTCAATGTTCTACGTAATCAGAGCTGGAAACTTAACGAGAAGATACAGCCACGCTCATTTATTCTTCTAAAAGTTGGGCATCCGAGTCTGAGCTGGTCACTTTAGACTTTCTTGGACTCAACAAAGACAAGGAAGGCTCTCTGGGGAGCAATATCTCAGACATGTAAGTCTCTCAGCACAGACCTAGCATCAAAAGTTAGAGGAGATGAGTCCTGCCCAGTCAGTTATGGTCTTTAACTGAGGATGGTGTGTGGAGGGCTATTTGTAAAAAAGAAGTATTTTGCACTCTTGTAGCACAGCAAGGAAAGTTGCGTGTCCGGTCCACGCTATGGTTCCCAGCTTCCAAGCACTGGGATGCCTTTGGCTGTGCCTCATGGACTCATACTGTCCTTTGTGAAGGGAGTGACTACGAAAAGAACAGATACTGAAAAAAATCACTTATAATTTGCTGTTCAACAGAACATTCCTTTACAGATTGTCCTTGACAGAGGAAGATACTCTTAAGGACATTTGCTAAACTGTAATTAATGTAAGGAAGGAGGACAAACTGAAACAAAAGAAGAATCCTCACAAAACCCAGCCCATGGGATCCTCCAAGCTGAGTACGCAAACAAAGCGATTTTAAAACAGTAAAATTCAGTAGGATTTCACAAATGCTCAGTGTTATGCATTGTTTTGCATATTTAAACCTATGAATTGCTGCCAGGCAAGGCAAACCCCAAGAAAACCCCAAATTATTCACCTGCCTCAACCAAGCCCCACTTCTGAGATATGTATAAAGGAGGCGCTCAGGGGTGTCGGAGGGGCCCCTTTTTGAGTTGCATGCTCTGCTGTCCTCCAGCATCCTCTCCTCCATCACGTCTGCCAGCATGAGCCAGCAGCTGTCAGCTGGAAGTTCTTTTCATGGGAGAAAGTTCTTCTCATCATCTTCTGCTGTGAGTGGCATGAGCCGCTGCTGAAGGAGCACCTTCCCCTCTGCTGTGCTATTTGGCAGAGGTTATGGAGCCTGGAGCCACAGCAGCCAAAGCCTCCAAAACACAGATGGGTGTAAATGGATTTCTTCTGGCCGAAGCCTCGCACAGGGGGTCTGTGGAGGCTGGGGGTGCAGGGCCATCCATGCCAACAGTGAAGGTGGGAGTCATGGGTTAGGCTTCCACAGCAGGAGCTGCAAAAGTGAAGGTATTCGTGCAGTGCATGTCAATGAGAGCCTGCTGCAGCCTCTTGATGTGAAGATTGACCCTGAAATCCAGCACATCTGAAAACAGGAGAGAGAGCAGATGAAGAGCCTCAATAATCAGTTTGCCTCTTTGATTGACAAGGTGAGAGCTCAGACAAGACTTAAAGGAATGATGAGTCTTAAGTGTGAAGGAAACCTTTTTGTGCTCAGGTCTTTGATTCCTCTCCTTCTCTCATCATATTACATGAGTGTTGTGCTGGTTTTAGCATGCATGACTCCAGTGCCATGAGCTGCAAGTGCAGATCTAGCTGATAAAGTTATTTTAATCTGGCTTATGTGCTTATGTGCTTTGATAAGCTGCATCTGTTTTTATTATTAATAGTAGAAGGGAGCTGTTCCCCCAAATTATCTTACTGAGCTTCTGCACTGTTGACTTCTCTCTGTGCAGCTGGACCTTGTAAAGTTGCATCGTCTCCTATTGATAAATGATGGTTTCCACTATCAGCCAATTGATATGCAGATCTATTTAAATATTCCATGGTTTCTGTACCTGCCACAAAGGCTGTGCTGTCTAGGGCTTCCTTGGAGAATGGGAGAGCAGCATGCCCATGTCCAGTTTGCTCTAGGATTGTACGATTATGAAGATCGTAATGCCTCCCTTTTGTCCTCTCATCCCCTTCAAACCACAATGAGCCCCTGGAGCATTGACTCAGAAGAGAAGATGCCTTGTTCCCCCCACATTTGTCTGGTCCCCATACAATGCATCTAAGCATCTGCCGGAAGAAGGTGGCTTTGCTTTCTGAACGCAGGTACAGCATCTGGAGCAGCAGAATTGGCTGGCTTATTTTGATTATTGCAAAGAATTAATTGTGCCAAATTAGATCGTTGGATTAGCTACAGCCACTTGGAAAATTGCTACAATTGCTCCAGCAAGAATTCTGGCAGGAGACAATGCTTCTGACACAGGTTCAAAGGATCCAAGAAGTAGGGTAGAATTATGACTCACCAGTAATTCAGCACCCATAGAAACTGGTATAATTTTCACACCATCTAATTCATTATATAGTTTATAACGGGAAGTAATGGAAAACCTTAATTATTAGTTCCAATTAGAACAAAGTATTGGTATCCTCCAAACAAGGCTTAAACACAGTCTGGCAGTACAGGGCCATGTCCAGCCTTTCTGTAGTACTTCAGAATTGATATTTGATTTTGGAAACATTTGGCTTTCCTAAAACCAACCTCAATATTTCCCAGTTTGGGACTGTCAAAAGAAGTGAAAATTTCTCTTTGAGTATGGCAAGAAAGAGGACAGGAACAATAAGGACTTCTTGTGTCTCCCCTGACAGGTCTCCTGCCTGCAAACCTCCATTTGTGATGTTGAGCAGCGTGGGGACTGTGCCCTGAAAGATGCCCGTGAGAAGCACGTTGAGCTGCAGAATGCCCTCCAGAAGGCCAAGGATGAGCTGGCTTGCATGCTGCGGGATTACCAGGAGCTGCTGAATGTCAAACTGGCCCTGGATGTTGAGATCGCAACATACAAGACTCTACTGGAGGGTGAAGAGAGCGGGTGGGTACCACTACAACCATGTGTGGGCAGTGTTCAGTCCTTGGGACTCTTCAACAAAGTAGGCTGGAAAATGCTAGAAATGCTAGTTACTCATAACCTTGTGACCTTCTTCTGCTTCAGGATACGCCTTGGGAGCCCTGTGAGAGTAAGTAAGCTATTTTCCTTACAACATTAAACAATCTGGTTCTGGTTTGCAGGGGGAGGAGGAAGGCTGCGTCCTCCCCATGAGTGATTCAGCTTGTGTTTTCCCATGGCAGTGATCACCACCCCTTGCAACACCATCTCTGGCTGTGAAGCCGACCTGGGATGTGGATCTGCTGGACAGTCCAGAAGATGCAGGTCCTCCTGTAGCACGGGGAGAGCATCCCTACCCAAAGACGCTGGTGCCTGCCACAGAGGATTTCCCCTCCAGAAGTGTTGCCAGCTCGGTAGGCAGGCAGTATATCCCTAGTGCTCCCAACTGCATCCCTAGGAGTGAAGAATTTAGGGCTGGAGGTGGGGGCCATTCGTGCCAGAGCTCAGCCCCTCTGGGCACTGGCGGACTCTGCAGTAGGACTGCAGGGAGGTGTGGAGAGAGCTGCAGAGCTGCAAAGAGGGTGGGAAACTCTGCTCACCCACAAGGGATGTGTTGGCCAGGGGTGAGGATTTCAACTGGACCTCCATGACCCCGGAACACCCGGATCTAAACCTCAGCTGTGAGAGTCAGGACAACCAGGACGTAAGACCTAAAGTAGAAAAATGAAAGCCCTGTTCCACTTTCAGTGGTAAAAACAGCCTCAAGTCCACCTGACACACGAGGAAGAGGCATATTGGGTACAAGCACATTGTAGCATCATCAAACCACATCACAGAAACTCCATCTGGGATCACATCAAAAAAAGGGCACTGAAACATACTCCTTTTGATTTCTGCTCTTTCTTTAAAGGGCTGGTGGTTGTGTTGGGGCACTTATCTTATTATCACTCAATTCCTGCTTCCCATCAGCCTTCTCTTTTTCCCGATTAAGCCTTTGCTATCTATGAAAGAAGTTGTGATATTTAAATCAGAATCCTTTCCCTAGAGTGCTCTGGGAAGTGTTTCTGGAAATGAGCTCTCTAGGACTCACCATTTCATCAAAGACTATCTGATGCAAGTCAGCGGAGTTGTAGTGGTGAGACACTCAGGGTCACGGAGAGGAGGGGCAGGGCTCCAGTGATGTTCTTTGTTCACTGTCTTGGAGCAGTTTGGTCATCTGTATGCAGGCAGGCAAGTCATAAAGGAAATCTCAATTCAAAAAACCACATTTCACTTTCTGTAGTCAGCAAAGAGTAATTACGTCGCTTGTACTCCTATTAGCTTCCTTGCTTAGTGTCCAGACATATGCATAAATTACAGCACCCTCACTTCTATCTTGATGACTCAAGACCTTGAAGCTTTTTGCTCTTTTTCCAATAAAGTGCATGGAGAACGAATGTGTCGCCACTTGGTTTTTAGTATTTCCCAAGAATACAGAAATGCCCTACTCCTAAATTGGACAAGACATGTCTGCTGATTAGAAGTCTTAACAATTAAGCAGAGGTGGCAGGGCTGCCCAGAAAGTGGCATATAGATCCAGTCTTTGGTTGGTGTAAATTATAGAAGCCTTTTAGAGTCAGCTTATTTATGCTGATTTGCACCAAATTTGGCTCCTACCCGATGCTAGTCAATGGGTGTTTTAAGATTCATAGAGAAGTCATCTCAGTCTCTTCGCGTTTTTATAGCATGTCTACCACAGAGGTGTGACGATAAAACACGTTTTATACCTCTTCAAAATCTGCTGCAATAGGGTCATTACGGGAAAAAACTCAGGAATGTGCTTGGTTGCTTTTTTCAGCATCATTTTAGAAATCCTACAACTACCAGTTTAGGATTTCAAAACAGATCAAACGGAGGTATTTTATCATACATTTGAGCAGATTAAAAGAAGAAGCCAACAAATTAGGAACATAAATCAACCACAAAGACGGAAGTGTTTTGTGATTAAACTGATGAAAGCCAACGAGCAGAACAAAGAAATGAACCATATAGAGGCAAGTTGGACAGATACATGTTTTACAAAACGGGGAATCCAGAGTGAAGGTCTTTCCTATCCAAAGCAATTATCGTGATTCAGAACTGGAAGAGCTTTTTCTCCCCCCCCCCAATTCTCCTGTGATAGGAAGCTATTTCTCAATCAAATATGAGGAGCACAAGAGAAAACAGTCACAATCTTTAATGAAGAAAACCACAAGAAAGATTTGACAAGAAAAGAACAATTGAGCAGCCATAAATATTCATTAAGAGGGGTTTAAGTATGTCATAAACGTTATGGTGCTCCCGTTGAAAATGGATGATCCTGTCACTTTTTATGCAAGAGAAGAATAAGTCAGGGAAATGACAGAGAATTAGTGTTGCTTTCTCACCTCCAAACTCCCACCTGCCATCATTTCCAGATCTGGTAAGTTAATTTAGCAAGTGCTTTACTTTAAACCTGTGACCAGCCTCTCTGAACATCAGCGCTTCCTGAATCAGCCGGGCGTTTCATCAGACATTCAGCAGTACATCACAAAGCTGCACAAATCAAACGTGGGCTTGGGCACTCGGGCTTTAGCATAACAAAAGGAAGAGCTTATCTCCTGCTGGCTGAATACGCTTCCCAGGAGGACCTGACCCAACTTCCATGGGCAATTCCTTCGGTATGGCTCAGAGAATCTCTTCTGGCCAAGAAAACAGCTTCAACTGGAAGGGATAAGAGCCCCTCCAGATTTACAGGGAAGTTGCTGTAACCTAGTAACAGCTGCAATATTTTTTTTCCCTTTCCTAATCTTTTTGCTTTAACAGGCAGTGTGATGCCATCCCATTCAGCGGCCTGGATTCCCATACATCCCACATTCATTTCCACCGTGCAATTCTGTGGGAGGAAGACATCAACATGAAAAAGATCAAAACAATCCTTTGCTTTGTTGCAAGCCTCAGCTTTACAGGCGCTAATCACCGCGTAGATATGATATATGCATACATCAGGAACCGAGCAAATCTAGAGAGCATGTGATGTTGTGTATTCTCATTAAGACTTCAAAGGTGCTAAAGAAATTTGGCGCCCAAAGGGTGGGACTAATTTCATCTAACTTTAACCATCCAGAAGTGGGGCGCCTGGTCTAGTTGTCTGGTTGTCTAGACTGCCTCTGGTAGTCAATAAGAAGAGAGGTAAGTACCTCCAGAGGTGGATTCCTCCCACCTGTCTTAGCTGCCTATTTTAGGATGCGATGAATCACCGTCTGGAGATGCCTATCTCTTTACATTAGCCATAGATGGAGTCTCAAAGATGAAATTAGAATACATGGCTAGTTTGATGGCTGAAGTAGGGAGGAAGGTGCACCCAGGCCCAGTGTTTGATGAATTTTATGAGGAACATCCTTTGAAAATCCCAGCCTTGACTTCTAACATAGAGCAGATGTAGGCTAATGAGAGGAAAAAAATACATTACTGGGTTGAATTCCCTTGGACAACTTTGGCTTTAGGACACAAGGGAATGAGGCTGCGCTAATCAAATCAGTTCTTCAACATCTCATGGATGACATGGACAAGAGTCTATACAGTCCATGAAACTGTGTATATAAAAATACATGTTATGACCCCATCTTACACCTATCAAATGCTGTTAGCACAGGTAGGTTATTGCCATTGTCTTATCTGAATGCAGTGAGTTTTCTATGGCTGTGGATAATTACAGAGATGGAGCATGGCTCTTTGAGACTATCGCATAAAACATATTTTAAGAGCTAGTTCGGATTCTTCTCCAGAGGCAACAAACAAATTAGTGAACTTCACATGTTCTTATAATGAATTCCACTTTCAGCAGCACATTCAGGGAGAAGAATGCTGACAAAGGGAGAGATTGCAAGTTGTCAGAATGACTCATTCAACCCCTCATCAAAATATTTTCCTTTTTTGCTTCTTCAGTCCTTGCCCTCCTTTTTTTTTTTGAGTCAAAAAGATGCAGTTTTTGCTTCAGAGTACTCTCCCATTTCCCATGTCCATACTCACAATAACAAATTGTTGATTCCTGAGATCTTAGGTACCAACAGGCAAAACACTCATTGTTCCCTGGAAAGACCTAAAAGACATTAAGTGAATCTTCTGCATAACTGCCTTCTCACTGGGATTCAGGAGCAACAACAGGGATTTGGATAACACAGAAATTTTACCCAATACTGGGCAACTTGTGCCCAAAATCTCTTACCTATCAGGAAGCCAGTGGCTCTGGTGAGGCATTTTGGAACTGGGGCTGCTGCAGCACAGTTGGTTCACAGACGTTTAATTGCAGTCTATGATACGTTCCAGGTGTCTCCCACACAGCCGACGTGTATAATGGGGTGCAGAAAGGGAGCAGTGGCACACCAGCCTTCAGTCTGACTTCTGGTCCAGGGTGCAGTCTTCCTGTACAGAGCTCGTAACAATTGGCTTTTGTACTCTTCTTTGGATTCAAATATGCATTTCGCTTCTGATAGATCTTTGTTTGGAACTTAAAGGATCTGGGAAGTTACAAGCTTTAGCTTGAAGTCTCTAATATTTGTTTTAACTGATATTGGCAAATGTGCTGGCAACCCAGTAAAAACTGTGAGCCTAAAATACTATAAACAAAGGTGTAATCTGAAAGTCATGCTGTAAATATGTTGAATTATCCCATTTGTATAGGGCAAAAGTGTCAGTTTACGCAACTAATTTATACCACCAGCCCCTCAAACTCACATAAGTTGCAATTACACGTTCAATTAATAGCCTTGTGAATCTCGGTGCTGCAGTCACGTCCTATGGTTTCGGTGTGCATGTCTTCTTTTTAAGAACTTGGTATTAGAAGGTTTAATGGTTTAAGGCGGTTTAGCACTGTTTTTATGATTTGCACCGCCTGATCCTACTTCTTGGAAAATGTTTTTGGAGGGGGTTAATGAGGATGGGGGAAGACAGCTACCGGGTGTCTCTAGATACCGTCAGGTTGTATGTATAACATGCAGACTTCTCCAAGCATTGCTGCCCTTCAGTTAGGAAGAGCTGAGGGCATTTAGCTGTTTGCACTGTAATGTCTCTTTTTCTCCCAAACACTTTACTCTCAAAGAGCTGAAAGAGCCCTATTGTTTTGACTTTCCAAATGCCAGTTTGGAGAAGGCCCTGAGATAGTTGGCAGATAGGTTCACTGTCTCACCTCCTTGGGCTGGTGATTAGGAGAGAGAGAGAGATTCATCTTGCCAATGTGAGTCAAAGCCATCTCTGGTGTCCAGCCTAATCTACTCATTAAGACTTCCTCTGTTGATGGAGAAAGACCAGCGCCTGCGGAGAGTGAATCACCCCAGTTCCCCTAAGCACGGACCCAGGGGCTGTTGCCTCTCTCTAGGAGGTGTACCTCCATTGAGTGTCAAGGATGTGTCTGGCAAAGTCACCCAACTCTTAGCTGTTGTTTCTTGAATGAGGTGGATCTCACCAGGCTGAAATGCGCTACTGTTCCTTCTTTGTTCCCTGTAGAGACTACCAGAAGATGAATCAAAACGGTCTCCAACATCCAGCTTGGTAGAAGCTCCAAGATAGCGAGGGCCAAAGATTTAACTGTGCCAAATGGACTTCAGGTTAAGAATTTGCAGCATTACTCAAGTGAAAATGTCACTGACTGCACAGAACATAAACCTAGTAAGAAAACTGAAATATGCCTCAGTTCCTGGATGCAACCTGCTCTCTTTTGGTGGTGTTTCATGTGGTAAGAGAAGGTCAGCGTGAAATGCTGCATGGGAATGTTTTTTGGGGGGCATTTTGAGTCCTTGCATGTGAATCCAGACCCGTAACTCAGTGAATGTGCTAGTGTTTCAGGCGCAGAAATGATCCATCCATCACAACACGACTTCCACGGTGTTTTTCCATGGTTGACTTTCTTTTTTCTTTTTTTTTTGGTTACTTTTCTGCACCCAAAACAAGCCTGGTGAGAGAAAAAAGGAGAGATTGTGAAATTACCCCCACAAAGTGCAAGCCTGCAAAACATGCCATCATACACAAAAACCCATGAGACACAAAACCCCAAACGACACACTGCAAACAAATCACAAAGAGTTTCTTCAAAAATGTTTGCTAAACTATAATTAGCCTAAGTTAGGGGAACACTTCAAACCGTAATATATTCTAAGCCAACTTGCAAACAGAGCACTTTTAGATTCCTTTTTATTTCCTCAGTAGTTAGTATTTGCTGGGCTGTTTTGCATTTTGAGGAGCATTTATTGCTGCCAGGCAAACCAAACCCTTAAGCACTTTAAATTAATGTCCTGATCCTATCAAGGCCAGCTTCCCAAATGTATATAAGGGGTAGCATCACTGTGTCACTTCAGCGGGATCTCTGTTCCTCTCCTGCAGAAGCGCTTCCCCTAAACTTTCATATTCCACCTTCAAATAAGCCACGATGAGCAGACAGGCGCCTACAGTGAGATCTGTCCTGGGACGAAGAGGTTTCAGTTCAGCTTCGGAGATTTGTGGTCGAAGCTACGCCGCCTCTGCCTGCCAACCTGTCCGATGCGGAGCTGGTGCCTATAGCAGCAGGAGTGTCTGCAACCTGGGTGGGAACAGGAGAATTTCCTACGTGAATGGGGTCTGCGGTACTGGATGTTTTGGAGAGTTCGGCTTCGGCGGTGTAGGCTACGGTAATGTTGGAGGAAGGGTTGGCCTTTGTGGCCCCAGGGGATATAGTATTGTGAGAGGTTACCCCGATCGCAAGGCTGATGGCATCCAAGGTATCTGCATTGACGAACGGCTTCTGAAGCCCCTCTGTGTTGGGGTCGACCCGCTGGAACATGAAATACGCTGTCAGGAGAAGGAACAAATCAAGACCCTCAACACCCAATTCGCCTGCTTCATCGACAAGGTGAGTGCAAACCTGCTCTGTACTTGCACTTCTTTGAGAAAAATAAAACACACCCAACATCCTCCAAAACCCCAGTCCACCTCGTGCCATGAATCACTGGCCTGGGTCCATGCAAGGGTCCAGAGTCCCACAGAGCCATGTTGGTTCAGAGTGAGATCTTCAGTATTGGGGAAGGGCTCATTTCAGCCACATACCGGTCCCAGTATTTGATGGTGTTTGTATTGTGGCCACGGTAGCACTGGACTTCCTTGCAGGTGTCTCCTCTCCGGATGGCCTCAGTTCAAGGCTGGATTTCTCACTGCATCCTTGTTCTAGCTCAGCTAGAAGTTACAGCCCTGACGGGCTCATCTTTCTGCCCTGTATTAGACCCTTTTCCCCTCTTTGTCTTTAAATATAGCGACTGTTCCAAAAACATTCCTGAGGGCAAAGGAGGTTAATCTTGATTCAGGCACCTAAACTTCAGGTATCTAAGTCTGAGCTGTCACCTTAGGACCCCTTTGTAGAAAAAACAGAGACAAACAGGTTCCACCCTCTGGGTACTCAGCCTCATCCTAAAATACATCAGAGGCACCATCCAGAGGAGCTTTATTTCTGTTCATTGGTGAGAAAGGCAGATTTAGACATCTGCCTTTAGACATCTACAAGTCACATCTGTGACTTGTAGCTTTCTAAATAATTTAGGCATGTGACTTTTAAATAAGGGCAGATTATTTTATGATCATTGCGGTTTATCACCTCTCACTTCCCAAAAAATCCTATTCTTACACCTGCAGTTTCACAGTGAGAGCAGACAGTTAAACCAGTTGTTGAGTTACTGCATTCATCTCTTTATTTGAAGAATTGCTATTTTTTGGCCTGCAGGTCCGATTCCTGGAGCAGCAGAACAAAGTGCTGGAGACCAAGTGGGGCCTCCTCCAGCAATACGTCCTACCAAAGAAAGGGAAAAACCTTGAACTGTACTTTGAGAATTACATCTGTGACCTGCGGAAGCGCCTGGACTGCTTGCTATGTGAAAAGCAAAAACTGAGCAGCGAAGAGTGTGCCACAAGCCAGCTGGTGGAGGAGTTCAAGTGCAAGTAAGGACCTTCAGGTCTCCTCTAGCTGTTGGCATTTCACTTCTCCTCTGGTTCATCTCAGGCAACATCTCCCAGACATGTGCTGCATCCCCTTTGGGGATGTCACGTTATTCTGTCCCACCTGCAAACTCTTTGCATTGTTAATGTTGTTCATGAAGAAGCTTCTGATCTTGGGATGGTCTCCAGACACTGATCTTACAGTGCCCGATGGCAGTCTCTGAGCAAGTGAAGGTTGTGATTTATACCTGATGGCTAATGTCTGTGTGTCTGATGATAGTATTGCTTGGCTCAGCCCTTTTCTTCTCCTTTTCCAACAGATATGAAGAGGAAATCAACAGGCGTACAACTGTGGAGAATGAGTTTGTGGCACTCAAAAAGGTGAGAAGCTCAAAATACATCAATCATTATACCTATAATAGGTTTATTTGGTGTAAAGCTTGGCTGAAACAGTGCATTGTTAGCAAATGCCTGGCAAAAGTGTTATAATGAGCAGGAGGGAGGCCTGTAAAGAGGCACAGGGTCAGAAAAAGAGGCAAATGCAAGTAGAAAGTAAAAATAATGTATCCTCAAAGCTTACATCATCAGCGCCACAGCAATACTTTTGTTACCCCAAGCACATTCTTGACGTGTAATGGGAGGGTGTATTTGCGGAAGGGGGACAGAATGGGAGAGGTCACACTGGAATACCCGGTGTCTAAGATGCTGGTTATTTTCTGACAGTCTCTTCACATCCTTTATACTTGGACATCAGAAAAGCAGAAATCATTTGAACAATATTAAAAAATTATGTTTAAATACTCATTAGTCAATTCTGAGTTTGTAGCTAGGTCCTCAGTAATAAATAAACTAATCCCTGTAAGTCATGTTGGAATGGTTTTGTTTTCCTTTAGGAGACACCAGGGCATCTTGACTCACCCTCTCACACCTTTCTGCTCTTGAAATCTTGTTGAAACATGTTTCTGTTTTATTGGCGCTGCCTCTGTCTTCTGTGTGTTTCTCCAATGTTTTCAGCGAGATTGGGCTGGAACATGTCTCCTCTCTTTCAGGATGCAGACTGTATCTTTTTGAACAAGGAAGAGCTGGAGGTGAAGGTGGATCTGTTGAGAAGGCAGTTGGAGTTGCTGAAATGTGTGTTTGAGGAGGTGAGTTTCTCTGGTCCCTCCCAGGAGTTTGGTGGTGCTGTCTCATCCTTCAGGTGCTCCAAATTTCTACAGCTTGAAACCCCTCTTGGACGTGTCTCGTCCCAATCCCTGAATACCTGAAAGCATGGAAGTACAAGGTTGATATAATGTTAACATGATTATGCTGGAAATAGGGTGGTTCCCCCTCTCTTAAAGCAGCTCCAGGTATGAATTAGCTGTGTCCTAACTCTACCCCTGAGAAAAGAGATGTCTGTCTAGTTACTCCGGATTGCAGTTGTCTGATTAGAGCTACAGAAACTCCCAGCTTAATCCTGTCATTAACATCAGTAAAGCAGCTGAAGATGACAGGATACCAAGGGTTAAGTCACTCAAATTCCTTGCCATTGATGTGGGCAGAATTGCTGCAGGTCAGCATGTAGGTCAGCAGCTGACATGTGGCAACTCGTCCAGCAGGGAGGATTTTCTGCTGAGCCAACCTGAGGGACATTTCTTGACTTGTTATATCCATCAGCAGTGTGGCTCTTTGTCCCAGCCCTTCCTTCACTACAAAGTCTGAGAACTGCTAACAGCTGACTAAGCCATTCCCCAACCTGTAGGAACGAGCTCAGATAGATCGCCAGCTATGCGACACTTCGGTCATCGTGAAAATGGACAACAACCGAGACCTGGACATGGAAAGCATCATCAAGAATGTTGAATGCTGGTACCAAGAAATAGCTCAGAAGAGCAAAGAAGAAGTTGATGCTTTCTACCAAACCAGGGTGAGTAAGAAGCAACCTGGGTGTCTGCCTGCCAACTTAACAGGCTGCAGGTCAAAAACGACGATTGTCTTGTTTCTTGGTTCCAGTTTCAGGAGCTCCAGGATAAGAGAGGCAAGTATTGCGACGATCTGCAAAGCAACAAGTGTGAGATTTCAGAGCTAACCCGGATGATACAGAAGCTGCAGTGTGAACTGGAGAACGTGAAGAAGCAGGTAGGAGAGGCCCAGAGGTGATGTTTCCAGAAAGGGCAATGTCTTGGAGGACAGCTCAGATATGAGGGAAGATGACGCATTGGCCTTTAGTAGATTTAAGACCTGCTCTAGGCTGCAGTTGGAAAGTGTATAGCTGAAAAGTGGATAGAGAGAAGGGACACTGG